GTATTTCATGGAAAAGTCCAATTTTATCAAGATAACTGACAAGGTTTGTTACATCATGAAGAGTTAAGTATAAGCACTCTACAGACAGAAATATTGGCTGCAAGGCATTTTATATGTGAAGCAGATTATGAACCAGCAATGATGATTTACCCCCAATAATTTTTCCACCCAAAGGATCAAATGAAATACTGAGTAATAAAATGCTGTGATTTAAGTTTATTTAACAAAATTTTTTTTACAGGTACAATGATAAATATGGAAACAATGACTACTAGATCTAGTTGTATAAGATAGCAATTCATGCATACCAATTTTTTAAATATTAAATCATCTATCATAATACAGAACATAACCAGATATTATTTACCCTACATGAATTAACAATGACTACTGACAATTTTACCAGTTTATTAAAGGGAGAACAAATTACTTCGAAAGTAAGTTAAAATATGAAATGAAATCTACAGGTAGCAAACTTTGCTATTAAAGCATAGGCAGAGGTAAGTACAAGCATACTAACTAAAATATTCTTTTTTTTTTTTTTTCTTGCAAAATTTCAGGCCTCAGGTATTGAACTTGTAAAAGTAGAAGACATTCCTCAGTGCAATAACTTTTTAAATAAATCAGACTTTGATAATAAAAATCCGTGTTACGGGCTGAAGGTATCAGAAATAAGTACAAACAATAAATTAAATTTTTGGATCGCCTATAGAGTGAAATTAGTGGCATACAAATTATTGTTTGCCCTAATGTTATTCAAAATATGTTACTGTAAGTTGATAAAATAATTATACAAAACTATTGTAATATTTAATAGTATGCAAGACTAAATGATGAAATAGTTGAAGTTTATTATCAAAAGGGAAGAATAGACAAGCAGCTTGTTAATACGTTTCGGTAAAATTAATGTCCTATTACAAAATTTAATCATTATATACTCCTATATTATTAAAGGAAAGCAGTGGCAACATACTACTGCCACATGAAAGGAATACAGAGAAAGTACAATCACTGGTGTACAAATTATATTGAGGTAACAAGCAATCATGTTGGGTATAGATTTTTTTGTACAATTCATTATAGAGAGACACTGAAGAAAATGGTTTTATGGATTTATGTTGTGTAAGCCACATGATAATAATTATGAAAATATTATAATAATCTTTAACAGTTCTTCTACAATCATACTGTAAAAGAAAACTATAATAAGGTATTTTTCAGACATGCACATGTATATCTAGTTGCACTGAACTCACTCTATACAGAACAATATCATTGAAGTAATTGTGGAAATGATGTAAGATAAATATAGTTTTGTTGCCAACAATTATAATTATAAATATTAAAGTTGCAAGACATCAGAGTACACTGAGGATGATTTAACAAAATTTCCAGAAAAGTATCAAGAGCTGATTAGACGAGTGAGATTAAAAATTGAGAAAGGTACATGTATTAGTTATAATAGTATGAATCATAAATCCTCAAATAGAAGCCAATGATGAAAAAAGTCATCTTAACAATTTATGTGAACGTAAGAGTGCTATTATGCAATTGTATTAATGTGATCATCTAATCAATAGTTGGGACAGATTCAAGCTACTTAGTACCTACCTATATCAATGAGCCAGAAGAAAACAATGATATAGGAGAAGTTTCAAGCACATTGGGAGAAAAATATTTTATAAATAATTACCCTAAATTGAATAGAGATCAATCAGACGAGTAAGCCTACAACTAAAATAATGTATAAATTGTTATGTACACTTACAGTAATTGTATGTTCTCAAGAAATTTAATAAGAAGCACAATAAAAGCTAATGAAGTATTGAATGATACAACATTATTACTGAGTGATGTTATAATGTATAGGAAAGACTGCGACAGCTATATAATGGTGTATGCTTTAGTGAGTTCACCAAGCACAAGGATAATAAATTTGTACAGTCAGCTTTGAATAGTACATGGATACAACTTCTAGACATGGTATGATGAAACTAATAATTTTATGGGTAAACTTTACCAAAAAATCATAACATGATGAAATAGTGCTATACTTAATGGAACTGCAAAGTGACATTGCTAGAAAGCCTATAGTTCATGTAGGGAAATTTAGTCAAACAATTATTTGGTCTGAGGTTAGCTCATTGTGATTTATACATAGCTAGATCTATTTCTCTCCATTTAGATTGTGGCTTTACTTATAATGAATAAATTTAAAACTACATATAAGGAAGCCGTAAATGCTATTATCACCGACAACTTAAGCAAATTTGGCAACACAGATATCACTTAGATCTATAATTGCTAGTTTGAAATAAATAATAGTAATCATAATAACAATAATAATGTTAATAATAATGAATATTTTGGTATTGTTCGTTTGAATTTTTTGTTTAATTTTTAAAGATAATATTTATAATAATTTTAAAAATTAATTGAAATCATAATTATACATTATTATAGCTATATGAGTAAGTAACATGCAGATTCTCTGGCAAGAGATATAGTACTAGGTGCATTCAGTACCAGAACCAAGAGTACATACAAAGTAATTATGATAAAACCTGCTGAATATGGTAAGTGAATGTAAAGAGAGTAGTTTATACATCTATGTTGGTATAAACTATGCTAGACTAGGCTCTACCGTACATGTATATTCGTGGTTTTCACTAGATATATGCTAGCATTACATTCGTGGTTTTTACTGGCATCATATTCGTGGTTTTTACTTGCGTGGGCATTTATATAAACTGTGGAGTGATGGAATGTGCTGTTATCAAAATTGTGGTTGAACTGGAATGTGTGGCTGTGAATGTATGGATAGCTTCAGCACTGTATCAATTGATAGTATGCGCTGGTATTAAATATTATCAGAAACTGGTTGAAATGTACTTCATTTCAAAACTAAGTTTGTCAAGTCATGCCTACAAATCCCTGTCCAGTTAGCTCACGTGCCTCCAGGCATAGGTGTATGAAAAGAGGGGGCTAGGGGGGCTGAAGCCCCTCAACTTTTCAGCAGGAGGGGCTTAGCTCCCCAAATTAATTGGTAAATGAATAAGAAATACTATTACATGGCTTTATTTCAAGTTGTTAGTAGGTTATTAGCTTGAAACTTCATTTACTTAAATGAGCATAATGTAGTAATAACAAATGGCAGGAATTAGGCATGCAGTAGCTGTCGAGAGCACATATGACAGTACACTATTGTTTACATGTTTTTATGTTCAGCCCCCCAACTTTCAAATCATTCCAGTTCCTACACCTATATGCCTCCATATACAGGTGTGTAAATTGGGTCCTAATAGAGAGAGAGATCATGATTGTTGAATAGTAGATTCATTGCAATAGATCAGAGACTGACACTGAGTATTATTGTTATGTCTTCAGAGGATGATATCACATGCAGTCTTCCAGTCAAAGTTAGAAGCACACTTACACTAAGCACACGTGTATACACGTGGGTAGACCCCACCCACTATAATGATTATTGTTAGACACGCCCTATTACTTTAGAAACACGCACTGCTGATCCGCTATTGCGGATCATACCATAGAGGGGTACTGTTGATTTTATTTCAAATGGAACACCCGGGCGGACCGGGTCCGGGATCTGGTCATTCTGAAAGTAAGCTCACGTGATAAAAATGGCTGACCCGGCCACGGCCCGGGTGTTCCATTTGAAGTGAAATCAACAGTAG